GGTGCTTCAGAAAGTTCTGGAAGGGAAGAACTTGTTGTTCAGACCTGTCTAAGAGGACAAAGCGGCGTTCCAGAGACAAGCCAATGAGGGGACACTGTCACCCACCGGCTCCCAAGGCCCCCCAGGAACAATGGGATAGTGGTGTAGTGGCAGGCCCATCCCCCACCCTCAGGGGGGAAAGAGAGCTGGCCACCTGAGCTGGTCTGAAGGATAAGGAGGAATTACGTGGGATATTCGTTCCTGAGCCGTGGGCTTACCACCGATGTGCGTAGAAGCTGATAGTATGACGTCGAATTCTGAAAAGAAGGAAGCTTTATTGCAAATTGATTGACCAGGAGGCAGGAGAAAACCCCCAATCTGCCTCTGTGATTAAGAAGGGGTGTGCAGGTTTGGAGGACTGTGCTTGCGAATGAAGAAGTTACATTTTATTGGCTAAGGAGGAGGCTAAAAGCAAAGAAAGGCGGGTTTGGCTCTAGTTTCCTGGCCAGTCACAGGGCACTTCACACGTGGCCCTCTGAAGAGGCTCTTCTCTGCATCACTGGAGTCTGGTTTTCTGTCATGGGGCCCCCGCCTCCGGTTCCCCTTCCTCCTCTACATCTGCGGTCTCCTGGCTCCGGCCGGCTGGGGTTCAGCTCGCGGTCTCAGGCTGTATCATTTGCAGAGACTTTGGCTGTATCTGTGGGAGCGAGTCTCAGGGGGAAATCTTTGGTGAGTTTTGTGTAGTGTAGCATTCTGGAGTTGACCTGACCTTGGTTTCAACGAGAAGCGTTCCAGAAAGGAACAAGGTCTTGCAGGGAGAAGAAGCCTGCAGGAATGTAAGACAGCTAAAGGAGGCCGGTGTGGCCGGAGCAGAGAAAGTGGGGTAAACTGTGGGGCACGACAAAGCGGGATAAGACCCTCCAGCTCCTTTCAGACTAGGGGAGGGGGCTTTGGCCTTTTCATAGGGACCACTGAAGCATCCTCCCTCCACCAGTCCCTTCTTCTGGCCCCCAGAGGGCCCCTGTCCTTGGTTTACAAGGTCCTGCGGCCTGCTCCGCCCAACTCCCTCACTTAGCACCCGTCCCACACCCCTCGGGCTCCCCAGGCTGGCTGGCTTTCTGTTTCTCAACACACCAGTTCCTCCCCACACGTGCTCTTTGCCCCTGCGACTCCCTGCCCTGCCATGCCCGCCCCTCAGGGTCCAGACCTCGGTTTAAATGACTCCTCGACACCTCGTCGAGCACACTCCTGACTGCCCCGCCTGCCGGCTCTTGACCACATCACACCTTGTTCCTTCTCTTTCTTCCCAGCTTGCCTCTCTCCCCACTTGGTGCACTGATGCCCCCCTGGCACGTGGAACAATGCCTGGCACGTCGCCGTGCAAAGTAAAGATTTGGAGGGGTGAACACACGGACATGACCTTCATCCTGAGATAGCAGTGTCCTGGGGTTTCTCCCTTTCAGAGAAACTGGGACATTTGAGGAATGATTTAGAAGGCTTGGGAATGCTTATTAAGGGGGAATTATTTATTGTCCTAAGCAAAAGTTCTCACACCATAACGTCGAAATCAAGAAGGGCACAGAGAGCAATGTCTCCAAGTTTTTCTTTTTTCAAACTTTTTATTAGTTCATCTTTCCCCCGCCCTCCCTGTGTCCTGTCCCTCTTGCTCCCCTCCCTCGCCACCTCCCGGCTCTTAGGAGGCTTAGTTTTAGAAAGGGTTTTGTGTCGTCGAATTACCTGCTATGCGAATGTCCAGTGTTTGTTTTTACTGTTCCGACTGACTCTGCTGCACACAATTCTCGCACATCCCTTCCATTTTGTAGTGAGTGACTGCCTCTCATCCTTTTGAATGGATGTGTAATATTCCACGGTGTGCAAATAGCACACCTTCTTGATCCAACCGTGCATCAAGGGACATTTAGGAGGCTGCTTCCGCGTCCGAGCTATTGTGAATAACGCTGCTGTGAACATTGGGGAATAGATGGGTTTCTTGCTGGTCTCGCCCTCTGTGGGTGAGCGCGCAAGAGGAAGACTGCCGGGTTATAAGGCTTTTCTGAAATCCTGCAAACCTGACAAATGCGGTTCGTGGTCCTCGCCCATGTGCTTACAATCACAGGACATGCCTCAAACATGGAGTAACAACAACAGGGTTTAATTACAAGGGGGGAATTGGAGAAAAGGAAAGCGTTTCTAAGGCCACAAGTGGCTGTCCTGCCCCAGCTGGCATCCAGTGTCCAGGAGTCAAAACCAGAAGGTGCCCATGAAAGATGACGTTGTCCCTCCAGATCCCCCAATCTGGATCATCCTTAAATGTGCCCATGCCAACAGGGTGACCAAAACCTGAAGCTGCTCTGGGGAGGGGTAGCCTGTCTTGGCTCATGACTCCATGTGGAAGGCCCGATCCATCGAACTCGATTTCACCCTTCCCCGTGTGTCTGGGCACGGGACACCTGCCGCGCACAGCTCCCTGGGGAAGTGTTTCTTCATCCACAAATGGGTCTTCTAATCGAGGCGCTTCAGTGCTCACTGGTAAGTATAAATAGGTTAGCGCTGTGTGAAAATGTGACTGAAAGGAATGAAATCAGAGCAGGCTTTCCTGAGAGGGGCCTAAAATAAGTGCGTGGTTAGCACGCAGAAGGGCAAGAATAGAAACCCCAGCGATGACTAGCACGGAGCGGCAAAGGAGGGGCTCTCTTCGAGGAAAAGGATCGGCATGCCCCCCACCCATGGCTGTCACAGACACGATCTGGAGCTGCCGCCAAGCCAGAAACCCCGCTCAGAATGACATCTCTGCCCACCTAGAGAGTGCCACAGCGGGGTGGGCCTGTGAAAGGCAAAGGGGTCCCCAAGCGGGCATCCCCGGGGCGCTCTGGGGCTCGTGGCGGTGGCGGGAATCCTCTCTGCGTGGAGCTGCCAGGCCTCTCTGAGAAGAAAGGCTGCGCCACCAAGATTAGGGCTCTAGAACAAGCGGAGGAGTTTAAACTGCCTGACTTGGCCGGTGGCAGCTGTTGGAAGCCAACAGGAAGCGGCAGAGCAGGATGGGGGCTGCGCTGGTGACCAGAGTGCCCAGAAAGCCCCTCGAGGCAACAGGACTTTTGTCACTCCGATGCGCCCTTCCCCGCAGCCATCATGACTGTGATTTCAAGGGATTTTAGGATTTGAGGTTTGGTAGAGAGAGCAGTTCTCTAGCTGCTTGGGTTGAACCCCAAAGGAATCACCCAAAGTGGCCCTGAGAGGGCCTTCTGGGCTCAGGACCAACCGTCTTGCGTGGCCTCTCATCACCAATGGCCAGGGCACCCGCAGAGCCCTGGGAAAGGCTGCAGGGGAGACAGGACACTGGCATCATTTGCCTTCTTCCAGTAGCATCAGGAAGCACCCCCAGAGCCTCACAGAAAGTGGGAGCCCCAGGGCAGGGTCCCTATCCTCTGTTGAACATGGCCTTGGGGAGATGTGGATGGATTTGTCCTGTGGCTCCTGGTGGGGGTGTGGGCAGCTTCTGTAGCCCAGCTGTCTTGGAACTGAGTGGCCGTGAGGGCAGAAGCCTCGGCGAGGTCTCCAGTGCCCAGCGTAGTATCTGGCACACAATCGACACCCAACAGATCCTCTTCACATGAAGTGGTGGCTGCATGGGTGGGAAGGGAATGAGGTGACAGAGGGTGGGTTGGTAGATGGCAGGAAAAGCAACAGAAAGAATTGGCTTGACTCGAAAGGGGTCCTGGGAACGTGGGGAGGAACAACTACTGGGTGCCAGGCAGGCACGAGGCACTTCATGGGCATGGGCTCATTTGGCCCTTCATGCCAGGCTCAGAAGAACCCTTTCAGGTCAAGACCCTCCCTGCAGCGCCCCCTTGCTCAGCCCCTGGTTACAGGCGAGATGAGCAAGGCCTGAGCCAAGGCGCCGTGCTCGGGCAGCAAGCTAAGTGGCTGAGCGGAGATCCAAAGCCAGGTGCGGCCTCAGGGTCCAGTGAGCCTGAGATGAGTGCTCGGCCTGGGTTCGAATCTCCACACTCGGCCATTTAGAAGCTTCCCTGGACAGAGCTCTTGACTGCTTTGCACTGCACCGCACCCTGGCTTTGGCTTCAGTCTCCCGGGCAGCACCCCTCTGCCTACACCCCAACCATAAGCCCTCCCATGCGAAGCTGAGAGGAGACAGGGCTGCTTGGTGTGACCCCGAGCCCAGGCCTGGCCCCGGAAGCGCTCTGGGCAGGCAGCGTGAGCGTGAGCTTGGATCACATCAATAACCAGACAGAGGGCAGCAGCGCGGGTCAAGTGTAGGGGGTGAGACAAGGACAGGCAGATGGGGGAATGAAGTCAGAGGCCAGGAAAGGCCAGGGGGAGGGAGGGGGATGGGTCAGACCTGGTACCAGCTCAGCTGTTTACAGGAGCCACAGCAGGGCCAGCCTTGGGGAGCCCAGTGGTCCCCCTGTGGCTACAGCTCGGGGCTTCCAGACAGACAGTGCTGGGACTTGTGGTTACTCGCTTTCCCCACATGTCGGGACCCACCCCACAGCTTCCCCTCCAGCCTCCAAGAGCAGAACCTGCTTGTAGCCAGTGTCACCCAGCTCCACCCCTGCCCCTCCTGCCAGCGCCCCTCAGCACAGGAGGGCCATGCCACGCCAGGCTGCCACCAGAGGAAGCCGCAGCACCACCAGCTCCTCCACCTCCCGGGGACACCCCCAGCCCTGTGCTTGCAAATGAGGGACAAGGGCCAGGAGCTGCACCTGAAGAGGTTCAGCGCCTGGTCTGCAGACCCCAAAGGGGCAATGGGGAGCTGCGGAAACCAGGTTGGCAGGAACTTCCCAAGGGCCGCAGCCTGGGAGCTGGCGCTCCTGGGGTGGCCCCGGCCTAGCTTGCTCAGCTCCCCGCAAACCTCCACGTGGAGCGGGTGTCTGCGCACGCGCGAGCTGCTGCTCCAGGTCTTGCTGGTTCCGGGGTCCCTGGAGGCAGAACTGCGGCTCCGGGTCCCCAGCCCCTTGCCCCGCGGGTGGTCGCGAGCCTCCTCCCCTGGCGGGTGGCTCATTCCTTGGCGTGCGCAGAGGCCCATATGACGACACCAGATGCTGAGAAAAGCCAGAAGCTTTACTGCAAATCAATTGCAAGGAGGCAGGAGGTAGACTCGGATCCGCTTCCCCAGCCGGGAAAGGAAAAGGGTTTATTTGACTTGGGGAGGCCCCGTTGAGAACAAAGGAGTTAACTTCTATTGGCTGAAAAGTGGGTTGGGGTAAAGAAATGTGAACTTGGTCGACGTTCATTGACAGCGGAGGGGCAGTTCGTACATGGAGAAGGATGTCTGTGGGCCGCTGGAGATCTGAATCTCTGCGGGGGGGCCCCTCAGCGCCCGGCAGCCTCCATCCTCCGTGCCTGCAGCCTCCTGGCTGCAGCCAGCCTTGGAGCTCAGCTCAACTTTGGTCACTTCTTGTTCAAGCTGTGTCATCTGCACCTGTGACTACGAGTCTCGAAGAGTAAGTTCAATAACTTATTTTTTCTTTTGTGCTCTAGGATCTGAGAGCAGTTTAACCATTTAGTCTCAGTCTTGCCCACAGGAAGGCGGGGAACTGTGCGGGTGAGCAGGCCCGAGCAAGGAAGTGCTCCTTACCAGATGATTCCTGTGCTGGGTCATGAGCACAAGTTAGCCCCGGAAACAGGGAAGGAAGCTGTGAGTGCTTGATGCCACCCTGCTGCCCCTACCTCAAAAGGAGTGTCACCTCCTGATCCCCAAGCCTAGCCCAAGCAGCTGCAGCCCTGCCATGGTGAGCTGCTGATGGGCAGGGGTTTTGGTGACATCTGTGAGGAGGCTAGACCACCTTGCTGGGAGGGAACAGGTCTGAGTGGATGGCAGAGCCAGTCTTTCCAGAACTGCTCTTTCCTGGGATGTCTGGAGAAGTGTCCAGGATGTCCGGGATGTCTGGAGAAGCTCACCAGGTGTAGAGACCTGGCCCATGCTTCGGCACGGACCAGGATGCCACATGTATTTTGGGAGTGTAGCTAACCCCACTGCCCCATTGCTCCTCAGGCCCGGAGGCCCAGTGTCCCGTGCAGCCACCCACAGCCTGCACAGAAGGTACTGTGTGCCCTGCAGCTTTGGTGCCAGCCACCAGGCCCATGAGGGGGACAGGCAGCCAAGGAACTGTCAGACATACTTTGTCGTATAGTTGTTGGTCAGCCTTTTTGGTCTGAGACAAAGGACATCGTGAGAAGTCTCTGCCGGCAACCGGCATCTACACGGAAGTAGGGAGTGAACTCATCTTTTTTTTTTTTTAAGATTTATTTATTTTTATGCACACAAGAGCTGGGGTGCAGGCCAGAGGCGCAGGGCAGGGTGAGAGGACTCACCAGAGACAGAGTGGGGAGTGAAACAGGCAGATCTACTGAAATACACTGCTGAGGGGAGCAGCAGGCGAGGCAGGAGAGGTCTGCTGCGCCATGTGGGTAGCTCCCTGACTGGCCGGGGATCGAACTCGTGCTGCAGGTGGCTGCTATAGCTTGATAGTGCTGTCTTTAACCGCTGCGCCACCAGGGAGGCCCGGGAGTGAACTCATCTTTCTGCTGCTCTCTATCAAAAGAAGGGACAGCTCAGGGATCGCCTCAGCTACCCCCCTAATTTAACCAGTGGGGAAACTGAGGCGCAGAGCAGCAATTGAGTGAGCTGGGGGCACAAGAGTCCCAGAACCCGCCAGTGGAGAAGAGTTCAGGCACCGTGTTCAGAGTCTGAACTTCAGCCTCACCATTTGCTTGCTCTGTGAGCCTCCACAGCCCGTCTAGGCCTCAGTTTCCCCATCTGCATCATGGGAATAATATCCTTGTCTCTCAGAGTTGTATGAAGGTTCAAGGATGTGTAGGGAAAGAGGGAGCTGTTGTTCTCTCTGCCAAAGATGGGGAGCCCACGCCAAAGAGCTGCACTGCTGCTTTGGGGCCTTGATAACTGAACAGTGATGGCGCAGCTGGACCCTCGTGTCCCAAAGGCTGTTCCTCGCAGCATCGCTGTCCAGCGGGGCTGCTGCGTGATCCTCTCAGAGGGCCTCCTGGGGGCCCTAGTGCCACCCCACACTGCCCTAGAGAGCCTCCAACTGCCAGCACCTCCGTCTCTAGGAAGCCCCTGCCTCCTGCCACGCAGTCCTCCTCCCCTGGCACCTGGACGTGTCTCCTGGAGTCTCAGAAACCTGAGTCAAAACCGGGTACCCCACTTCCTAGCTTATCTGTATCTACAAAGTGGGGTGATATTAACACTACTAGGACTATTCTGAGGCCCGAACGTGGCAATGAGTAGCCAGAGTCTGGCAGTCTCAGGGCTCCTGGAGGGCAGGGACTGTACCTGCTTTGTTCACCCCACACCTAGCTCGGCCACGTGGTGCACAGCTTGGCATGAACGGGCACTCCAGTAAGAAGTGGGGGGTGAGCTATTCCTCCCCTGCCGTGCCTGCCCAGGAGTGATCGCCAAACCGAGCAGGGCTGAGCTTGTAGGCGGCTGTGGGGCTGGGAGGGGACAGGGCAGGCCGGTGTGGGGTAGGGGGTTCAAACAGTACCCACTGCAGAGACCAAGGACTTTTCAAACTGGGTGCAGAGAACTTCCTGGGAGCTGAACACAGATGGGAATCGGCGAGCTGGGCTGTCTCCTGTCTCGCTGCCACCCCAAGATGGCTGCCACTTGCCTAGTGACCCAGATTTGTGGCCAGGCGCCGCTCTCACTCCTGCCCAGCTCGGCGGGAGCCAGTTTCCAGTTTTAGCAAATAAAAATACAGGATGGCCAGTGAAATCGAAATGGCAGATAGACAACAACCGGTCTTGTAGCATAAGGATGGACCATGCAATCTTTGGGCCATACTTAAACTAGGAAATTATTTGTTGTTTATCTGGAAATCACATGTAACTGGATTCGCTGCACTTTCCTGGCAGCACCTAGCTGGAGATTATCCAGCCTGGGGATTGGAAGCGAATCAGCCTTGGGGTGGGAGTAGGAGGGAAGCGCTCCCACCAAAAGTGCTTTGAATTGATGTCAGAACAATGGCACGGGTTGTTTTGTTTTTCTTCACATACAAAAAAGAGCATTCCAGATCACTCCAACGAAAACAAATGGTGAATTTCAGCTCTCCGCCTCGCTCCATTGACGTCCACCCAGAACTCAGGACTCGCCTGGATACTGACTGTTTCACAAGCGGCTCTTGCATTTTCTCAGCAGCGAGCCTCCTAACCCTTGCTGCCCACTCCTGGCTGCCATTTGGAATACACTTGGGCCGGAGGCACCGTGGCCATTTGCTGCTCCAGAGCTTCCTGCTCTGCCGGCCTATGCGGAGGCTCCTGCCCAAAAGCAGCTTAGCCGAGTGGCCTGAGCTGCGGACTAAGACAGACAGCAGATCAAAAACAAGAAGGGGAGTTTAGTTTCCCAAGCCCCCTGAAACATTGGGCCCTTTATGTTACACAACCTTGAACCTTCACACAACTCCAGGAGCTCAGGATATTATTCCCATGATGCAGATGAGGAAACTGAGGCCTAGACGGGCTGTGGAGGCTCACAGAGCAAGCAAATGGTGAGGCTGAAGTTCAGACTCTGAACACGGTGCCTGAACTCTTCTCCATCGGCGGGTTCTGGGATTCTTGTGCCCCCAGCTCACTCAGTTGCTGCTCTGCGCCTCAGTTTCCCCACTGGTTAAATTAGGGGGGTAGCTGAGGTGATATCTAAGGCGGTGTCACCAAGGAGCCTGTCCTTGGGCCTCCTTGGGCATTTCAACAATTGCCCAGCTTCCTCCTTTCATTCCTTTCTTCAGCAGCAAGCACTTCCTAGGAGTGTGGTAGGCGTGGGGGCAGAGCCAGCCCTGGCTATGCTGACGGGGAAAGGTAGTGGAGTGCCCTAGCTAAACTTCTCCAGGATTGGGGTAGCTCTTCTGCCACTCTTTCAGGCTCCAGTATGTGGGAGGAGTGCATGGTGGGAGGAGGAGCTTGGGAGAGGTTGGGAGCTTGTGGCTGGTCAGGGTACTCCCCCAAAGGGGACACCACCAAGAGAAGACAGGCCTGGGCAGGAGGCAAGTCTCCATCCCCAGCTTCCCCGGGGGACCTTCCCCTACTGGCTGCACAGGGAGTGTCCTGTTCCCTCCGGACTTGGCTTGAGGGGAGTCCCAGCGGGTTCCTGGCAGTCACCACCCTGGCTCCCACCCACGCAGCTGCCAACTGCAAGCTGGGGCTCCCCAGTCCTTTTCCTTGCACTCTGGGGCTGCCAGCCGCCCCCAAACCTCAGCGCCTCCTGGAGTCCTTGACCTTGGGCTTTGCCCCCTCCCAAGAGCCAGCAGGTCATGTGCCCCAGGCTGTAATGGAGAAGCCCTGCCGCCCTGCCGCCCACTCGCCTGCGCCCTGGGCCCACGCGGACTAGCTGGGCCGCCAGTGGGCTGCCACCTCCCAGTGCAGGGCCTTTCCCTTCCTGCCTCTGGAGACCTGGCCTCGCTCCATCAGGCCTGCGGCTGCTGGCTGTCCTCCGAGTTAGCTGTTCCTCCTTTCTGGGGCCGGGCTTGCGGCGTCCTCCCAGGAGAGCCATGGCCTCCTGCTGGCCCCGGGCCCTGCTGTTGTCTCAGCTCCAGGGAGAAGAGGAGCAGACACCACCGAGTTAGCAGAGGTGGGAAGAGAGATTCAAGGTGGAGATTCACCCACCACACCTCCACGTGCTGCTGTGTGTGTGCTGAGCACCTGTGGGGTGCTGAGGCAGAGGAGTGAACGGAGCAGGGATGTTTCCAGCCTCTAGGGCCTTCCTAGTGGGCAAAGTAAGACATGCCAGGTCTCATGTGGCAGGAGTCACCCCTCCCTTGTGTATTTATTTATTTATTTGTTTGTTTGTTTATTTTGTGTGTGTGTGTGTAGAAGAGCTGGGGTGCAGGCCAGACATGTAGGGGGTAAGAGGATTCACCAGAGACAGAGTGAGGAGCAGAACAGGCAGACTGGATGCAATACACTGCTGAGGGGAGCAGGAGGTGGGACAGGAGAGGTCTGCTGCACTGTGTGGGTAGCTCCCTGGCCAGAATTGAACTCAGGCCTTAGCAGTGATAATTAACTCCTAGGCCACCAGGGAGCACCCCCCGCCAAGGTATTTAGATGCCTTCAGAAGCCCTCTCACTTATCCCTGCAGGGTTGGTGATGGAGGGGGAGCCTGGGGATCACAGCCAAGATGAATCAGCCCCAGTCCTGAGAAGCTCAAAGCTCAGTGAAGAATAGGACGTGAAAACCCACCGTCACACAGGACGTCTGGTAAGTGCTGAGTCTGAGGCCTGACTCTGGGCGCAGAAGACCGGGTGGTGCGAGGTTGTGAGCGGCCTGGCTTTCTGGGAGCACATCAGGCCATCGACTATGAAGGGGTAGAACGCCCCAACCTGGGTGCTGCCACCCAGTGCTTGTACCCTTCAGTGCAGGCTGGGAGCCTGACATGCTACCCTGGGCAACGCCGCGGGGAGTCACTGGGCCTGGGGCAGGGGTGCTATATTAAAAAAGCCTTGTGGAGCTGGAGGTCCCCAGCTCTCATAGCCAGCCCTCCTGAGCAGGCAAGACAGTGGACAAGGAAGCAGCAGCGTTTCTACTCCAGCAGGGCTGTGGCGTTGAAGTGTGTGGAATTTGAGGTGTTCTGTCTGCTTCTTCTGACAGAAGGCCTAGCTAGAAGGCCTTTCCACACCTGCCAGAACTAGTGCCACAAACGGGGGGAGGGGGCCTTGAAATAACAGAAGCTGATTCTCTGTGATTTGGAGACGCAAAGTCCTACCCAGGTGACCACAGGGACTGGACGTCACTGGCAACTCCAGGAATGCTTTGGCTTTGTTGTCACGTCACTGGAATCGCTGCCTCCATCTTCACCTGCCTTCTTCTCTCTCTCAGGTTGCTCTGTGTCTCCCCACTCTACCCCTCCCCGGCTCCCCTTCCCCCCTCCCCCCATCCACGCCCCGCCACTTTATAGGACCATCAGTCATGTGAAGTAGCGCCCTCCATCCAGGATGACTTCATCTCCGAGATCCTTAACCAGCTATACCTGCATTTGTGGGTCTTCGAGATAGGATTTATGGGGATATCGTTGATGGAAAATAATGAATTTCAAAGTGGCTTCCATTGTGACCAAACTCCCCCCAGAGGGGTGAGCCCAGAAATGCCCCCACTCTCTGCCATGTGCCGGTCCGCAGAGCAGTGCCAGGAATCAGTCAGTATCTGCCAGGTGAATCAATCTAATGGCCAAATGGACTTGACCTTGAGTTGAGTGGAGCTGACCATGGGCACAGAGTCCCAGGTTTTCCCAACATTTTACAGAGAGACTGCAAGGCATTTTGCAGACAGATCTGGCAGGTGTTGAAGCAGCCCAGGCTGAGGCCCTCTGGGCCACCCCGCCCACCCACTGGGCCATCCCCCGGGTACTTCCTGGGGCACCAGGAGCCACGCGGAAGGTGAGAATGCAAAGTGCAAGGAGACTTTGAAGAGCAGGCGGTACTTGCCACAGAGCACTGAAGCAGTGCCCAGCGCCACTGTGGCTCACGCTGCAGATTTAAACAGCTTTTATCCCCCCAAGAGGGGCGTCGGCCTGAGCTGGGGCTTTCGCTGGAGAGCGCAGTTGCTACCTTGTGAGCACTGGTGAAAAGGGCTTCAGAGTAAGGAAACAACCCTTTCAAAGGTCTTCCATTGTTTTCAGGAAGCATATTTTGCTTTCTGTGCTTTCCAAAAGGGAAGTACAATACCCAAAAAAAGGTATTTTTGTAACTGTGAGAAGGAAAAAAGCCAAAACAGCAGTGTCCTTCTCCAACTGGACTCAGTCAGAGGGCAGGGGGCCAGGGTGACTAGTCTGAAATGGAGCATTCTGCTCCCCAACCAGTCACTTCCCATGACCTTGGGATAGTGTAGACTCTCCGTGGCATTCTTCCACAGCTGTCACCATCTTCTGCCTCACTGTTTTGTTTTTCTTTTAAGACTTATTTATTTATACAAGAGCTGGGGTACAGGCCAGAAGTGCGGTGGGGGGTGAGGGGATTCACCAGAGACAGAGCGGGGAGCAGAACAGACAGACTGACTGAAATACACTGCTGAGGGGAGCAGCGGGCGAGACAGGAGAGGTCTGCTGTGCCATGTGGGTAGCTCCGTGGCCGGTGGGGATTGAACGGGCACTGCAGAGGCTGCGGACAGCTTCACAGCACTGCGCTCAACCTCCTGCGCCACCAGGGAGGCCCTTCTGCCCCCGTTAAGGGCTGAATTGTGTCCTCCCCAAAGATGTGGGTCCTCACATCCAGAGCCTGTGGCTGTGACCACATTTGGAAGTGGTCTTTGTAGATAATCAGGTTAAGATGAAGCCACTGGGTGGGCCATGGTCCAGATGTCTGTGTTCTCCTAAAACAAGGGGCCTTCAAACACAAGGACGGACCCCACCCCCGGGTCGTGGAAACGAGAGGGATGTGGCCACAAGCCAAGGAACCACCCACAGCCGGCAAAGCGGCCTGGAGCACGGAGCACCTTCGAGGGAGAGCGGCCCTGCAGACACTTTGAGCTCAGCCTTCTGACCTCCAGGCACGGAGAGGTAAGAGTCTGCTGCCGAAGCTACTTGGCTCTCAGCAGGTCTTCGGACGGTGTGGGTTCATTCAAGAATGAGAAAAACAAAGCAATCCCAGGCGATGATGATGTGGATTAAACACAGTAGCCAAGAACCTACTTTTGAGTCCTCGCTTTTGTGTCTTTTTACTTGAAGTGCAAGTTTCCAAGAACATATGGACGACGTTAAGTGAGGCCAGCCTGGAACACGCACAGCAGCCCTAGCGAACGAATCGCCTAGGCTGGGCCGCCCCGCACTGGCCTTTTTGAGGGATTCGGGCTTAGCCTGTTGCTCTAGCATAACAGCATATGGTGCCCTTTGGACTGCAACTTCTGTTTGTCACCCTAGTGCTTCTCTGAGCCAACTCCAGCTTAGAGTGACCCTCCTCTCCTAGCCTGCCTCGGAAGGGGCTAGCTGGTGTGCCGCGGACCAGCACAGCAGTAGACGATGAGGCCACCTCAGGGTTGAGAGAAGCGTGCAGGGTGGTCAGGGCGTCGGCGAAAGAAATGACAAACAGACACACTTCAAGAGTGAAAATCTGAGTGTAATTTACTTTGAGTTTGTGACCAGTATATATATGTTTTCCAAAAGCACAGGAATGAATATCAATGAAATTAGCTTGCTCCTGGGCTCAGTCTATCACCATCAGGGAGGTGATCTACATAACAAGCAATGACCATTATAGAAGAAAGGAGGAAGTTTAGAAAGACAAATAAGGGATTAAAGTTTGTAGTTCTAGAAAGACGGGATAAGATTTTTCAGCATTCTTGTAGTGGTTCTTGGTGGTCGTTATCTATTGATAAGCTTCTGCCTTTTCAGGGAACTTCCGCTGCACTTCCTCTGCTTCAGGCTGTTCTCTCCCCGCGCGCTGGTTGCCCAGCCGGATCTAGGGACCGTGGCGAAAGCCATTCCTAAAGATCACTGCGGGGGGAGGTGCAGCAGGTAGGGTTTTGCTGTTCTTCCCCTGCGCGCTGGTTGCCCAGCCGGACCTAGGGCCGGTTAGCCCTAAAGGTCACTGCAGGGGGAGGTGCAGCACTGGTGGGGCACCCCTCCATCCCCCACAGCATTACATCAATTCATCCTGCGGCTGCCCAGGACATTTATACCTCTTCGGCACATGGCGCTTCTTGCTACGTCACATCACCTCAAGTGTGCCTCCTCTGGAATGCCATCCTGACAGGCGGACTGGCCCAAGGCCTTGGTCGGGGCTCTCAGCACCTTCCTGGACTCCCCTCACCTAAGGGCATGTGGCCAGGTTCTAACGAGATTTTGGGGGCAGCTCGTATCCTGGGTGGCATTTCATTCCTTGCTCCTAGCCCGTGGCTGGGGAGACCGTGTGCATCCTGGCACACAATTTGAAGGAAGACGCCTGGTAGGTGTTTAAGTGCTTATGCTCCCCTGAGGCTGTCACCTCTTGCCTGTCTTGGCTGCATCTTAATTCTCTGTTTGTTTACCATGTAATACCCAGGCAGCATATCAGAAGGGCCTGTTTACTGAGGTAGTGTTTCATTTAAGAAGGTAATAGTGGCTGAAGGATATGATCAATCAAAAAAGGATATTTTATTTACGCCCCCAGCATCTTGAAGGGATACCATGTGCTATTGGGGTCTTCCTGGATAGTAAACCACTGGGACAACAATAGTTCTCGGAGGGATATCCTTACAGGAGTCTGCTGCCCAACCACAGCAATGCTGTTAGAAAACGCCCATTTCAACCTCTGATCCAGATGAGTTCAGACTAGAGCTGTGGTGGGACACACACCTAATAATCCCTCGTGTGTCTTTAGCCCTTGAGTTTATATCAAAAGCTTGTACTTACATGAGCTCCCTCGGGTCTCACGACACCTGCATGAAATAGCAAGGGCGGGGGCGCCCTGGGAGTCACCTTTATTCCCAAGGGTCAACTAGCATGTCCTTCAAGTCATGCCTTTGAAAGAGAAGTGTGCTGTCCAGGAGAGAGCTTGAGTTTAGGGTTGAGAACTGGGGCTCTGGCCCCAGCTCCACCCCGACCAGCAGTTACCTTGCACTGAGAGACTTGGTCTCCTCGTCTGTGATGATGGGCGATCACCTTCTCTGTCTTCAAATGCTGTTGTGTGAGCCGGATAGAAAGAGGGTTAGGAGCACTTGGGAGCTTGAAAGCACTGGATGTCTCAGGGAAAGGTGACCTTCCCAGTGAACTCGAAGAGAAAGAAAGAAATATGGCACCTGCGTTAGACTTATGGATCGATGGAATAGAATCATGAGTCCAGAAATAAACACACACATGTATGGTCATCTACTACAACAGGGGCCGAGACCATTCAGGAGGAAGAGGACAGTCTTTTCAACAAATGGCGCTGAAGTAACTGGATGGTCACATGCCAAAGTCCAACATGTGCAAAGTTGGATCCCCTGCCTCACAGCAGACACAAAAACACACTCGAAGCGGAACTTAGACCTAAGCATAAGAGCTAAAACTACAAAACTCTTATAAGAAAGCAGTGGTCAGTCTTTATTACCTTGGATTTGATAATGGTTTCTAGATACGGCCCCAAAAGAACAAAAGATGCAAGAAAAAATCGATCAATAAATTAGACTTCATCGAAGTGAAGAACATTTGTGTTTCAACAGAAACCATCCAGAAAGTGAAAGTGCAACCCCAGAGGATAGGGGAACATTTTTAGATCACATATCTGATAATAGACTTGCATCCAGAA